TGATACGCTTTCATTTTAAGCCTCTCAAATGTGGAGATTTCCTTCTTTTCTTCATCATGTTCTAAAGTATTGCAACAAGACACCATCTTGGACTTCAATAAACTGGGATGGATATTTTAACTGTTTACTGTCCTGCACTTCACTACAGTCATAACGTATGGTGCATAAACAATGAATTACCATCGACTCAGCTTCTGCACCCTCACTGACCTGGAAACTGCACTGTGTGAGTAGTAGCTAGCATCTAAGCTAGTTCAAAGATGTGACAATAAGATTCATATACAGAAGAGGTTACCTTTCCTATATAACTAAAACGTTTTTTTGTATACACAAGAGCTTTCAAACTAGTCAAAAGTCTGTTCTCAAAACGTTGGCTGTGCATTATGTCAGAAAAAGAACGCCAGCCAATGAACGAGCCATAATAAATAGTTCCTGGCATCAACAACTAAAAAAACCTAATTTAATTCCACTAAAACCTCTAGCTTAATAGTTGGAACGAGACACTTAAATTAGATTGATGTCGCTAAGTGAACCTGCATTTGCTCTGCACTTTTATTTGTATGCCTGCATCTGATGGAATTAAATCGATTGAGCCATAAGAGTAACACTGAGTAAATTGAGAGGGCCTCTGCGGGTGTGCGTGTGTGTGTGACAGCGACAGGGGAAGCAGGGTGTGTGTTTTACGTGGCAGTTAATGTGTTTCCGTCTCCAACACACCGCTGATAGGAACCTGAATTAAGGGATGAGTGAGGTTGGAAAAGGGCAAAATCTAATTAAAGTGGAAAATGTATGGCCCTGTCAAACACATCACATATACAAATGCTGACACACACACACACACACACACACACACACACACACACACACACAACACACACACACACACACACACACACACACACACCACACACACACACACACACACACACACACACACACACACACACACACACACACACACACACACACACACACACACACACGAGGGTACTGTCAGAGGAGTCTATCGTCAGTAATGGTTATAGCTCTCTCCTGGGGATTCAGATGCAGATAAATCCTTCTCTGGGCCAAACATCCACCAACACATTTCACTGACTCACACTGAAACGCTGCATATAAAGTGCACTTAGACGCACTAATAATCCAATATTAACCTGATTACAATATTAGCTTCGGCTTCATTTCCGCCTCGTGTTTTGACAAACCTGACAAATGTAAAAAGGACAGACACAGTATAACCCTTTTCCACTGAGTTGAGTTCAGTTATATTCCGTGCTGGGTCTAGTTTAGTTAACAGTCGGTTCAACTTGCGAACAATTTAGGAACCAGTTTGCTTCTCCACCAATTAGAGCCCAAAAGGAGCCAAGTCGCGACGTCACTGTTTACGATTTCCGACAGAAATTGTGATGGGCTCTTTTTTTTTTACTAAAATCTATCTTCTGATGGTGTGATAATAACTGATGAAATGTTGTTAATTAATTAATTAAACATGAGAGCTGAGGTTTGGGTTTAGGGTTAGGGTTATTCACTGTTAAGAAATGATAATGATAGCAAACGGGTTGTCATTAAAAGTATGGTGAAAAATAAATTCGGGTACATTTTTATATAATGTGTGTCGTCATATATTAGCCATTTTTCTATTTCAAGTTCTGGTCCAGATCGAACCAGAACTGTAAGAATATAGAGATTAAAAACGGAATATCGCCTAAGGGATTCACAAAGTAAGTCTTAATCTTAACCCTTGTTGCTCAGGTTAATTACACCCTGCTTCCCACGTACTCAGCTCATCTTAGTGGAAAAAGAGCAATAATCATTTAATGAGTGGTTAATACTTTATTGATCATGGATAAAAGAGGGCTATTGATATGACCCATTAAAGCTCTTATACTGCCTGCCTTGCACTCATATTTCAAAGTTCTACCACAAGATTTTCTTCTCTAAAGCCCCGCTGTCTGAAATATATCCAGCGGTGGTTGTAATGCTTGATAATTAAATGACCAACATTTACATTGAGAGTGTGGTATTAACGTGGTTTAAGCAACACACACAAATGAACCTTGTTAGATCAACTTTAATACTTTTAATACTTTTAATTCAAGTGGCCACTACCAACGTGTAATACGTCCTAATTAGATGTTTGCACAACAACCATTTGTACACAGCTTTAATCTGAGCATAATCTCAACGATCCAACTGCCAGCCGTGGCACATGCAGAGTGTGTGTGGGGTCACCTAAGGGATTTCAGGGCTGAAAACTTAGTGTGAACGTCCATGTTTGTCTATTGGCAATAACAAGTAGAGAAGAAGAAAAAAAAGGTGGGTTTGTGATGGCGTCTTTTAATCAAGGCAAAACTACGGTGGCTGGCAGGTGCAAACGAGCTCCAACGGCCCCAAACACTTCCATCAGGAGAAACGCGCTGCAGTTCTAAAAACGATGCAAAGTTGACAGCACATGCAGCATTTAGAAAAGATATTCATCAACTTGAAGAAACAGCGCTTATGTGATTGAATGATTCCTTCCGATATTAATGCAGATCTGCTGTAAGTTACCTAGCCAACGTAGCTAACGAGAGTCATTTCAAATATACAGCCAAAACACCTACAACTGTAAAACAGACTAACTTTCTGACAGTGAGAGTTGGCCAACTTTATATAATCCTGAATATCAACAAGCGCTCCGGTCCCAGCTGTGTGCGTCACTTTTTAGTGTCCCCTGGTTTCCGTTGTGTTTTGAGCTCCTTGCTGTGCTTTTGTAATAACAGCGTTTTGTGTTTGCAGTGTTTCGTTTATACTGCGCTTTGAGTTGCATGTGTTTGCATGTGTTTGCATGTGTTGCCAAGGTAGCGAAGATGTTTCTTCATTTGCATGTGTTTTGACACATTTGTGTTTCTGTACTTGCATCGTTTTTGAAACTGCAGCGGCGTCTCTCCTAATGGATATGTTTTAGGCCGTTTTAGAAGTTAGCACCTGTCGGCCACAGTATAAAACTCTCCGAAACAAATTATATGAATATATAGATTTCTGATAAGGATCCCTAAAATATGGTATATTGCTTTTTAGAAATATGAGGTGGACTTACTATTTAAAAATACAAACATCCCCAAAATGTCAAACTATCCCTTTGGCCTTCCTCGGGTGGCCTGCAGTGTGCGGTTGTACTTCCTGTTTCTATGTGTTTATAACAAGTTTGCCAACAGAGTTGGTTTGACGCAAGAGTTCCTGACCTAAACAATGTTTCTACACAGAAACATACCAACACGGTGATCGGATCATCAGTCTCACACAAAGGCTCCTTCAGTGCCGAGCCACCTCCGGACCCGACACCATGCACAGTGTGACTCAGGTGAGGAACACATGCTGACCCCATTGCACACAAACGGACACTTTAAAGAAAGTAACACATCTCAGTGTAATCCTCCAACGTCCCCCTCCCCCCTCTCTTTCCCAAAACTAGTTTAATTAATAATGCTGCTGTATAATGGCTGCTCTGGTGAAACCCTGCGAGGCGTTCCTCTCAGACTTGTTCTGACATTAGCTCCTCGCTGGCCTACTTTACACCCGGCCCTCTGAGCCTGTATGTGGGGGATCATTGTCCCTCGCTCCTCCGGGGTGTTCTTTGAACCTGGAGCCAAGCGAAGCCTTTTGAACCGGCTGCTTCTCGCTTCACACCGAGGAGCTTTGTAATGCTCAACTTCAAAATAGGGCAGTTTATTCAGTTATGATGCTGTTTTGAAGGAAATGTGAGTAAATTGGAAAGGAGGTGACTTATAACGGGTTTGCAGCTGCCTGTGTTATCTACACACACACAGAAAGTCTCTTTCATGGGTGTGTGTTACTGTTCATATGCGCAGACACACACTCATGTCTACTAGGGCTGTGCATCTTCACTGGTCTCACGATTCGATTCGATTATCCTGTCAACGATTCGATTCAATTCGATGGTATTTTCTATATTACTGCACATGGCTTATTTTTCATCAATGCATACATGCAGTAAATACATATGAACTCTCTTTTTATTATTTAGAAAGTGCTTCAGAAATCAATAACATAAATGTCTTGACATTCATTTATAAACCAAAATAAATGAATTGTATAGGTCTAGCCTCCCTATATCTGTGTGTGAAGTTGTTCCATCCTCAAAAACAAAAAAATAATGTTTCTGCAGTCTAGCTGCAGCTCAACGGTCTTCTGTTAAAGAAAGGACACTGAATGTCCTGAATGTGGCATCACACACAGGACTTGAGTCTGAACACAGCAGACAACAGGAGTATTTACAATAGCATATACAAACAAATATAGTGCATGTGGGTGCACACTCACATTCTCTGTCTTACTGTTGCATACATCCTGAATGTATGAGATTAAATTAGCTTCATTATATCTCAGTGATTAAGTGAATAATAAAGTTTCTATCGGGTCACTCTCAGCCTGTCACTCATTATTTTCAGGGAGGGGTTTGGAGGAACGGAGGAGACGGTGATCGCGGGAGCTTTTTCCCTCCTGCCTTCACAAACTTCACAAACTTGACACACGTATATATCGTCTGAAAATTGCTAGAGGGCATTCATACTCTGCAATCCAAGACTTAATTAAATCCACCAAAAACCTGACATGATTGTAACGCGATTATTTTTGAAAAACATAAATCCCTGTGTCTCTGAGCCGCAGCGACACGGAGTGATTCAGAGCGGGTCCTTCTGCTGTTGGTTCTGGACTGGTGTTCTTGTGTTGGTGGATAAAGCAGACGTGTTTGGTGTTGCTGTGCCGCTGTCACGTCTGTTCCCTGATCTCTGCGTCACCGACCGATTTGATATTAAAGTGACAGAAAAAAAAACGTTATAGTAAAGCCGCGGCCGGAAAATCAGGAAGCAACGTTACTACGCTATAACCGATTATCTTCCGTCACTGCATCGAGACCGAATCGTCCACGTCCGCATCGCAATGCATCGTAGAAACGATTATTTTCAACACCCCTAATGTCTACGTGTCACACCTACCTTGTTGTCTTGGAAACAGGGGGCTTGGTGGGAGTTGCAGAGGCAGTCTTAGGAGCTGGAGGAGAGGGGAGAAGGAGGAGAGGTTAGAGGAGAGGAGTGGAGGCAAGATGAGAGGATGTGAGAGAGAAGAGGAGGAGGAAGGTTTAAAAGCAAACGAGAAAAAAGGACATGAGAAGATGACAGAAGAGAAGGGGAGGAGGAGAGGAGACAAGAGAAGAATAGACGAGGATACGTTTTTAAAGCAGGTGAGTGTAGTCGAAATGAGGAGAATACGAGAAAAACAAGAGGAGAGATTAAAGGAGAGGAGATAAGAGAAGGAAAGGTTAGAGGAGACGAGGAGAAGAGGAGGAAAATAAAAGGTTAAAAGTAGACGAGAAAAGAGGACAGACGAGAAGCGGAGAGCAGAGAAGTCAAGAGGAGAGGAGATGAGACAAGGAGAGGTTGAAGGAGATGAAATGAGGAGTAGAGGATGCCAGAGAAGACGAGTGAAGGTGAGATGAGAGGACACGAGAAGAAAGTAGGAGAAGTTAGAGAAGAGGAGATGAGAGGAGACAGAGAAGAGGTTAGGTGAGACGAGAGGACACAAGATGAGGAGGACACAAGATGAGAGGACACGAGATGAGAGGACACGAGATGAGAGGAACACGAGATGAGGACACGAGAAGAGAGGAGCAGAAAAAGGGGTTAAAAGCAGGTGAGAAAAAAGGATACGAGTAGATGACATGTAGAAAAAAAATGTAGAGGAGACATGACAAGAGGAGACATGACAAGAGGAGACATGACAAGAGGAGACAAGAGGAGACATGAGAACAAGAGAGAAGAGAAACAGAAAGGTTTAGAGGAGAGGAGACAAGTGAGCAAAGGAGGAGTTAGAGGAGAACAGCGTTACCCTACACAGTATAGTAACATACAGTATATCACAGATATAGGCCGTGCCAGAGGGATGTAGGGTAAACGCCTCTGCAGATACCCAGCAGCCACTGGGGCATGTGTAATCTGTGCTGATCCATCCATCACCTTACATTGAACACCCCTCTTAGAGCTGTGTGAAAACACGTCATGCTACCACGCTAACTCTGGATGGTGTATTCCCCCCCGACACAACTTTTTGTTTATGGTGACATTTCCAACCAACCTAGGGGCTTCTTAGCGGGGGCCGCGGTGGTGCTGCTGGTTTTGACACTGTTAGCGGGAGCGGGCGCTGGCCTCTTGGCCGCGGTTGTTCCGGTAATCGACTTCACTCCGTTGGGTGGCGGGTGACGCCCCCGTGGGTTTCTTCTCACCCACTTTGCTCTTCAGGGCCGGGGACGGGGTCGTGCCTGTTGGTTTTTTGACAGCGGCTTGTGGTGGGTGGGTGGTCTTTTTAACTACGGCAGGGGCGGGTTTACTTCGCTACGCCGTTAGTCTGGGGCTTAGTCGTGCCGTTTGAGAGGCGGCTCTGGGTTGTGTTGGTCTTGGACCCGGTTGAGGTCTTACTTGGGGCCGTCGGTGCCGGGTTTGTCTTGTTGACGGGGCCTTGTTGGTAGTCTTGGCTTTGGGGTCTCCTGTAGTCTTGTGCCAGTCTTAGCGGGGGTCTCCTTAGCCTGGTTTGGCTTTGCGTCCCCCGTCTCTTCTATGGTGGGCTGTGACACCTCCTCCGTCACCGGGCTGTCGGCCTGGTTGCCCTCCAGTCCATCTGCCCTCATTCACCGGGTTGGGTTCCAGTGTTTCCATTGGCTCATGCGCTGCCGTGGCAACCCCATCCGGCTTCATCTCCCCTCTGGTGTCGGTTGGTCCGTCTCTGCAAGGCAGGGGCCGACGTAAATCTCGCAGGATGGCCACGGGTCTGCAGGATTTCTGGAGACAGCGAGGTCTGGTCTGCAGAGAGAAGATAATGAAACAAATGGAGTCAGCAGCGAGACCAGACATGACGAGCAGAGCGGCAGGAGTGTTGATAACGCCGGGAATCAGATAACGGGATGGCTGGGATCTGCTTACAGCTTCAGCATCACTCACACACACAGGGTTTATTTGCTTTAGGCACGTTTGAGGAATTTTTAATGGAATCATTTCAAGGACCAAATTTGACCGTAACCAAAGTTGCGGAAAGAATATTGGCACTGACTTTGTTTCCAGTAGTGCAAACGTTTCTGCACAAGGGAGCGAACTTTGGGATTTTAGCCTTTGCAGACCATTTACATGCACACAAATCTATATAACACCCCAAAAAACAACAATATGCCCCCTTTAAGACTTTTTAACAGCAATTTAGTACCAATTTTAAATGTAGGACTTCAATGCCTTTTAGGATCCATGACACAACAGAGACATTGTTATGCAAGCGTCCAAATATTAGCAGGCAAATGGATTGTAGGACAGAATTGGAACAGGATGCGCCAGAATACTGCAGATGAAACTGCTACAGAGACCCAGGAGAGGCCTGAACCTGAGTAGGATATCATGTTATGTTTTCTGTCTGAGGGGACCACAGGAGGAGGGACAGCACAAACAACACATTCTACAAATAGCCGTTCATTCATTTCAACGCCAACTGCAGAGCAGCGGCCCCTCTGTGATGGTAGAAAGCTCAGTGACACACTTGGCTGCCACGGGTTAGCTTCCTCTGTGCAAAATGGTATTGGGACTCACTCGTGTGGAAGACTAGCTTTCATCTGGGATCGTACACTTTAGGGAGAGCAAAAGGCTTTAGCACGCAAACTGTGAAAACACACAGTAATAATGTCGAGTCATGCAACTTTTGAATGTGCACATGCATGACAAAAGCTAGGCCTGCTTCTTCCTATTAGGCTAAAGAAGAACAGTATGGTGAGGTGGGATGAAAAACACTTGGATGTGTATCCACTAAGTGGGTCAAGGCGCGTACAAGAAAACCCAAATATAGGAGGACAGCTTGACTCATGGGCCACAAACGGAGCAGTCACAGACATGAGGGAGAAGGAGGAGAACGTGAAGCATATGAGGCCTGATAAAAGGGCAACTATCTGTAACACGAGCTGTCATGCATTGTCTGCGTCAATGAGACAAATGTGTCTTATTTTATTTCCTCGGCTAGTTGAGGTAAGGATGAGAGGAAACAGATTTGGTAGTTTAAGAGAAGCAGAGGGGGGAGTAAGGGGGGGGGGTAGCAGGGAAACAGGCTTGTCCAAGTTTACAAAAACAAGGGCAGGGGGGAGGCTAAGTGCTGGGATAAACTCAGAGGCCAGCCCAGAGGAAGCATGGGAACAGGCCACAGAGAAGGTGGGGGAAAACCTAGATGTCAAATGAGCTCATATTGGCTATCTTTGCCTGCTTAAACCCAGTACAACACTAGTCATCTTACTTTCCACTGACATAAACACACTCGCTGCCCTATTTCCAGAAGACAGACATCATCTTTATGCGGCCGGCCATCCTGGAAACAATCCCGAACCTCATCTATTCTTTCCCCCCTCCCTCCGTCATCTTTTACTCATCCTCCTTACTAAATCAAAAAGCCTTCTTCATTCTCTTTCTCTTTCTCCAAAACATTTCCCCCTCCTCGATATCTTTCCTCCCCCACCGCATCCTTCATCCCTCTGTTCATCTTTTTGCCTTTGCACCAGATGGCCGGAGCAGCTGAGCAGAGCCGGAGGGGGAGAAACATGAGAACAAATATCTGTGGTGTATCCCCCGAATAAACATAGAGCAGATAGACACACACGGCTAGTTGCAACAGGCCGCCACCCAAAGGGACCGGAGAGGGAGACGCGGGTAGCAGCGAGGAGCGGTCACAGGGGGTTTTATAGCCAGTGAGGCTATGAATTGTGGACAATTAGCTTAATTATGTTACCAACCACAACCAGTCACTTTCAGAGGAGAGAGGACAATAGAAAGCAAGATGGAGATTATGTGTGGGAGAGAAACTCCCTCTGGAGGGCACGCAGGGATTCAGCCTTTGCAGACCATTTACATGCACAGAAAGCATCATTGGGCCTCTTTAAAATGCAAGTAGAGAACCTTGGAACAATTAGGTGCTCTTCAGGGAAGGGTATGTCATCACTTGAGTAACAACATATCTTACGAATGGTAACTAGGGATGTAACGATATATCGAATATCGCGATAAAAACTGGCAAAACTGTATTGTTTTTGAAGTGGTGGAGAGACAATGCACAGTTTGACCCACTGCTGTCACCCATGGCCAAAGCATATCTCTCTGTCCCAGCAACATCAGTACCAAGCGAGAGAGTTTTTTCCACAGCAGGGGATATTGCAAACGCCCAAACATCCCAGCTTCTACCTGGAAATGTGGACATGCTCATATTCCTAAAAGATAAGCTTGATGATGCTGAGTGAGTGAGTGAGTGAGTGAGTGAGTGAGTGAGTGAGTGAGTGAGTGAGTGAGTGAGTGAGTGAGTGAGTGAGTTAGAGTTGAGTTACTTGAAAAACTAAAGTGAAACTTGATTTATTCTATTGCAGGGTCTGATTATTATATTGTTGACACTTTAAAAAATACTACTATCCTACTAAAATGCTGTACAAATCAGATTTATTTGTTCAAGTAAAAAAAAAAAATGGCAAAAAAAATGTTAAAAAATAAAATATTTCTTTATTTTTCAGTATTGTGATATTATCGTACAGTGGACTTGTTACCGTGATATTATCGTACAGTGGACTTGTTACCGTGATATTATCGTACAGTGGACTTGTTACCGTGATATTATCGTACAGTGGACTTGTTACCGTGATATTATCGTACAGTGGACTTGTTACCGTGATATTATCGTACAGTGGACTTGTTACCGTGATATTATCGTACCGTGAGTTTTTGGTATCGTTACATCCCTAATGTTAACACATCAAATTCCAAGCGATCCACACAGTCTTCAATCCAATCATAACACTGTGACATAATTCCACCAAGCAGCGAACCAGGAAATGAGACCGTCCAATCACGTCCTCTATTTCAGACTCTTCCCACAGCAAAGCATCTGGCCTGGCCTGTCATGTCACTGCTCCTGTGTTGTGTGTGTGTGAGAGAGTGAGAGTGTGTGAGAGTGAGAGTGTGATAAATCCTGATTGCACGGCCTCAGCCAGAGGAACATTTCTCTTCCTCCTGCGACTCTCCAGACAGCTGTGATATTGGACTTCTCTTTCTGGCTCTATTGCTCACTCACCCGGCATTACATCATTAGGGCCATCAGTCAGCGGTTAGCATAAACAGGCTAGCAACCAGGGCAGGAGCATGCTAAGGAACACATGTCATCTACTCTTCATATGAAGTGCAGGTAGGTGGGGATTGAAGACCCTGTTTTTACAGGAAAATGGTCAGAAAACAACACTAAGAATGCAACGTTTGTTTGCTGCCAAAAACGATTTCCATCCTGGTTTATACCCCATGGCATCTTCTTCCCAAATTCCTTTTCATTTCACATTTGTGCTTCAATAATTGTGACCACCTTAATGATATATTAAAAATGTCTAAGCTACAATGTGTATTGTTCCATCTGGGAGTATTTGAGTATCGTATAATTGTTTCCTCAACAGCTTTATATTGCATCCCTAATTACCGTGGCACTCCCTACTGAAACATCTAACCCGCTGAAGCCATTACAGGTTTTCATTAAACCTAATTAGATTGGAGAGTCATTTCCCTGCAAACAGCATGAGTGAGCTGCTGGAAAACATCGAGTTGAGATATATAAGTTAGATCATAGAGCTCAACAGTGAGCGACTAGTCTCAGCTTTGAGAAGTGAATATCCCTTCCAATGATTGAATCAAGCCAACCAACTCTAAGATGAATCTTGATAATACAACGTTTGATTGGGAGGGTGAAGGGTACAACACCAACAACTCCCTTAAAAAAACGTTTGAACTGACTGGTGTGGATCTAAATCCGTCACAAATAATACATGTTTTCTTTTCAAAAGTTGACTTGTGGCTTCTACAATAGCATCATTATAGTTTCACAATTTCATAGGTTATAGTGAGTCTACCTTACATTAGAATTGGGCTGCACGATATATCGTGTCCTGATGATAATCGCGATATGCGCATGCATACACGTCATGTTACAATTCTTTTGCTGCTTGCTACAAAAGGAAAACTCACATGGCTCTCGTGTCAGGGTACTTGAGTGAGTGACAGCAAACCACCAATCACAATCAAATCTCCAAAGCAAATGGACCCGGCGGTGATCATGGCTTGTGCACGTTCCCAGCAGCTAATTCCAGACAGATGGCTGTCAGCTACATTAGGTCCATTTCAAAACATTTAGGAACAGTGTGTGAAACTTTATGGACGTAAAATGGTTTAATCTGAAGAGAATTGCTGGTCAAGCTACTCCAAACCAAACAGCCGGTCAGCTGTCCTGACCTCATGTGGCCTGAGACAAACAAAGGATCTGAAGTCAAATAACCACTTCAACAGGCTGCAGTAGCTGTCCTCAGAATTCAGATCAAAACGAGTGGTGCTTCGACGACGTATTTGTGTAGGCAAACTCGTCAGTAAGCATCGCAAGGTTACTCCAATCCAATGGGACTTTTCCATTGGATTTTTGAATATTGCAGCAAAGATGTTTTATCATGCTATTTTTAGGCAATAAATGCAATCTTCCAAAGAGATAAGCTAACTTTAGGCTATAAAGAAACTACATCACAGTCACATGACTTCACGTCACCACCGCTAAGCTAAAGGCAGCTAATGTTGGGCGTGATGACGTTTAGTGGTCTCGTTTAGACACTTGTAAGCAACTTTTTTAATGCATTCAACCGAAAATGTGTTCAAAAAAAGCCATCATGAGAAGAGGGAACATGGATGTGCCAAAAAGCCAACTTCCTGGTTGTTGGACTCATTCCTGCACCAGTGTGTGCCTGGAGATAGAACAAAGTAGTTTGAAAGTGGCGTAGGTCTTTCTTAC